GGCTCTCTCTTAGAGATAGGGTGAGAAGCTTGGTGATCCGGGAAGGGCTCGGAGTAGACCCGCTGCTCCTCCACGTCGAGAGGAGCCAGTTGAGGTGGCTCGGGCATCTGGTTAGGATGCCTCCTGGACGGCTCCCTGGTGAGGTTTTCCTGGCAAGTTCAACTGGGAGGAGACCCAAGGGAAGACCCAGGACACGCTGGAGGGACTATGTCTCTGGCTTGGCTGGCCAGGGAACGTCTTGGGATTCCCCCGGACGAGCTGGCCCAAGTAGCTGAGGAGAGGGATGTCTGACTTAGACTGCTGCCCCTGCGACCCGACTCTGGATGAGCGGCTGAAAATGGATGGATGGATAACTCAGAAATGTAGTCGGTCCCTCTTAACCCGTGACTTGGGTTCAAAGTAACCCAAGTTGGGTTGTTTTTGACCCAAGGGTTTTTTGTGTGCAGAATTCATGGTTCCACCAGTTACAGCAAGTGGTCCCAGCCCTGAAGCAACAAGCAGCTACGATGTTTTAGAGTTGGTTTGACGCATGCCTTCCAGAAAGTTCTGCGTATGTTCCCCAGAAAATCTCCCCAGAAGTCTCGTCGATAGATTATTCTTTTATTTTTCTGGGAACAGCCTCAACTTGTTTTTCATTTAAATTTAGCGTTTTGTGTGTTTGATGTCTGATTTTAGTCCTTTGAAGTCTACATACCACACACCTACAAGTCGGAACCTTTTCTTAAAGAATCCTAACAGATTTGCTCCCCCCCCCCCCCCCCACACACACACACACACACACACTTATTCTGTCCCACATATGACAACCACTCCTATTGTGATGTCTATCCATCATGTCCTGTTTGTTGCAGCAGGTAAAAGGCTGATTTTTTTCCACCTTGTTTGTTGTTGATAAGCATAATGGATGATGCAAAAAGGACCGCTGCTTATCTGCTGTTGTTTTGTTGTTGACATTTGTCTGATTTAAGTGGATGGAAAAAGAGTGGGAGGATGGAAACACGCCTAAAGATATGCAACCAAAATAAAGAGAAATCTACAAACGAGGCTTTGGTTGTTTCTATTGAATCTGCAAAAGTTTTGGGATTTATTTCCCCTTTTTGAAGAGTTGACTGTGAACAGAAAGGCACCTTCTGGAGCAGCCACCCCAGCTGATGTCACACTGAAGGAAGTCCTTTGAACAGGATGGGGGCAGAGGGACATCCAGGCATTACAATGCATCGTTGTGTTCCAGCACCCTCACAGGGACATGACGCCATCCATGTGTAGGCTTCACAATGGGTTGTATATGTGAGCACCGTAATGAGAAGTTTCACCATCAAGGTGCTGGTGCGTTCACGAGGAGTAAACAAATAACTCAAGTCTCCTAAATAAATGCACTAAATCCTCACAACTCTTCAGTGCGTATCCAGTAAATGAGATGTGGGGCATTTATTGAAAATAAATCCATAAGTAATATTTTAAAGGAGGAATTAGAAATCTTAGAAGAGGAAGCTGTGTGATACTGCCCTCTAGTGAACATAACGAGTAAACAAAGTAATCCACCTAAAGAATTAAATGTATTCCTTCATGTAATCCCAAAACAAGACTACCAAGTTAATGAATGTAAATTCCTAACAGGATGTAAGCGATAGAAGCCGACTTAGGTGATGCAAATCAACCGGCACCTTTTCCCACCTTCAGATGGACGCAAATATGAAAGGACCTCGCCACCTGCGGTGCACAGGTTGGTGTTGTCTCCTGGGATGAGGGCTCAGTCGCTCCATCTTTATTTGTTATCAGATGATTGACCGTGACAACGAGTGGCTCATTCGTTCAGCTCGGCTGCAAAAGGAAACAAATACTTACCGTCTGAGTCACTCTGATGCAGGGCTTCCAACATCTGCTTCAACATCTGGTTTACAGAGAAGCTTCTGGATGTTTGTGGATTTCTACCTGAATGTCTCCCAAACAAGACTTGATTTTGAGTTAACCTCATAATAATAATAATAATAATAATACATTTTATTTCAAAGCGCCTTTCAGGACACCCAAGGTCACTTTACAGAAAACACGTAATAAAATACAATAAAACAATAATAAAACCCAAAGAAGAAAAAACAAAGAGAGAAACAGTTCAATAAAATCAGAGGTTGTAAGCAGATTTAAACATGTGTGTTTTGAGTTTTGATTGGAAAAGGGTAAAACTGTCGATGTTCCTGATGTCTGGGGGAAGTGAGTTCCAGAGTCGAGGAGCAGAGCGGCTGAAAGCTCTGCTCCCCATGGTAGCGAGACGGGCAGAAGGAACCGCAAGATGGATGGAAGAAGAAGATCTGAGTGAACGGGATGGGGTGTGAATACTCATAAGGTCTGAGATATATGGAGGAGAGAGGTTGTGGATAGCTTTGAAGGTATGGAGGAGAATTTTGAAGATGGACCTGAACTTAACTAGGAGCCAGTGAAGCTGCTGGAGAACTGGGGTGATGTGGTTAAAGGAAGGCGTTCTGGTGATAATACGGGCTGCTGAATTCTGGACCAGTTGCAGTTTATGAAGGAGTTTGTTGGGGAGACCATAAAGAAGTGAATTGCAATAGTCAATACGGGAGGTGACGAGGCTGTGGACGAGAATGGCGGCAGTGTGAGGGGTCAGTGAGGGACGGAGACGGTTAATGGAACATAGATGGAAGTATGCTGACCGAATTAAGTTATTAATGTGAGCTTGAAAAGAAAGTGAGCTGTCGAGAATGACACCCAGACTCTTGACGTGAGGGGAGGGGGAGACTGTGGCGCTGTCAATAGTTAAAGAAAAGCTGTCAGATGTTGAGAGGGTGGAGTTAGTGCCAACTAGAAGAAGTTCAGTTTTATTGCCGTTGAGTTTGAGGAAATTAGAGGTGAACCATGATTTGATTTCAGAGAGGCAGAGTGTAAGGGAGGATGGTGGGAGAGTTGAGTTGGGCTTACTGGAAATGTAGAGCTGGGTGTCATCCGCAAAGCAGTGAAACTGGATATTGAATTTGCGGAAGATTTTGCCGATAGGGAGGAGGTATACTATGAAGAGGAGGGGCCCCAGGACAGAGCCCTGGGGCACACCTGACTTGACTGGGGAGGGTTCTGAGGTAAAGGATTTTAACTGGATAAACTGACATGTTAGTTCATTTTAACCCCTTTTATACTTTATTTGTTTGCTTGTTTTTATCTGAATTTATTTGTTTATCATTTTTTTCCTCTTCCAGAGTGAGAAGCTTTTTAGTTTTTTTTGTTTGTTTTTATATTGTAATTCTTATTTATGCAACCATTTTTACCAGCGTGTAAACATTTAGATTTTTTACTCCATGTATCTTATTGAAACGTTCAATCTGAACTCAAAAGGAAAATGCTAATAAAATAATCTAAAGTGATACTTGCACGTTGGAAAACATTACGTACTTTTACCATACAATGCACTATTACTATAATTCCATTGAATTTTATTATTATTCCCCCTTTCCCCAGCTGGCAGGACCCTTTAAAATGTCTTCAGGAATTTTCTTGTTTGAAATATTTCTGTATATTTTGAGCATACATGAGTTTCTTACAGTGTGGCAGTGCATCATGGTGAATAAATCCATAAATTAAATTTAAAAAATACATTTTGAAAAAAGAAAATATCATTGAGGACTTTCAAAAAGGCATAACAGATACTCATCATGCTAGTAAATACACACAATTATTTTATTCTCCGGTCCAGACTTGTAACCTTTTACTTGACAGACTAACCAGCTCCACTGTTTTAACTAAATTTAATAGAATTTTTAAAAAGATGTTGAGATGTTTGAATAGAATTTTTAATAGGAATGGAATATATCTGTAAATGGTGTTAAATTATAGAATAACCTCAAAAGGGAAATTAAAAAACTGTCATTTAATATATTCAAAAAATGTGCCAAATTGAGTGTACTAAATAATTATGAAAATGTAAATTAAATCAATGATCATGATCGCACTGGAATTAAGAACAGGAAAAAGTTTAAAATGAATCTGTGTGTGTGTCTGACAAATGGAAATTGTGTATAAATTGATTATTTTTTTCTGGAAAAGGGGGCAGAAATTATAAGATGGTTTTCTTCATTCTGCTCCTTTTTGTTCAAATTTGGTTTTTTGTTATGTATTTCTTATTGTTTATATGTTTGTTTTTATTTTGAATGAAATAAAATAAAATAAATATATATATAGTATTTACCTTGCAATAATATCAACTTAAATAAATATAAACAATGTATAAATAAACAATAAATATTCAGAATAAAGATGTGTAATAATCTTGAAATGTTTGATAGGAAATCTTCTAAAACTAAAAGGCAGGGGCGTGTCCAGGGAGTGGCCTGGGGTAGCACATGCCACCCTTGGAATCTGATTGGTCATCCCAGGTGTCACCACACTGAATTCCCTTGAAATAGGCTTTTCATTGTCCACAAAAGGCTTGAGGCAAAAAAAAAAAAAAAAAAGCATAACCACTGGTGCCACGTATGCACAAAGTAGTGCCTCACCTGGGCCGCCCCATTTTAAAAGATCTGGACACGCCACCACTAAAATGTTCATTTCAGTTTGTGAAACATTTGTTTGAGCTGAGGTCAGGAAATCTTATTTACGGTGATGTCATTTAAGATGCAATACCCTTTGCAGCCACAGGAGAGTGCTGTTGAGCTGTAAATGGTCCAAATGGCTAAATAGCCCAAATGCTAAACAAAATATAGTACTGTCTCATGAGTCACACTTGCTCAGATGGACAAGTAAGCCAATGTTCTGTTGAAATATTATATTTAATTGGAAAATTGCGCAATTGGTGCACATTTTCGCATAAATCAAACTGTATGTCTGAGTAATAAAAGGGAAGCAGCGTCATACAAAGCAAAGTGTGGGGCTTGGTGTGTAGACATGGATCGTCTCAGTCAGCAAAGGCCTCGTTGATTAAGATTAGAACCAGATGTTTGGAAACCCGGGGGGTGGGGGGGGAGGGACATTTGGTCTGTGGGAGGAGCTTAGGAGGCCCACTCCGTCCTCGATTTTTATTCTAACAGGTAGTTCAGAAACAAACAGACGAGCAGCGAGCAGCATGCTGAGCAGAAAGAGCTCCTGTGCGGAGGTGATGATGATGCTGAGCGCTGCAGCCGATGGAGTGGACCGCATCAGGGTCGGGGAGAAGCTGCAGGCTGCGCTGGTCGGGCTGCAGGAGCTGGATCTGCTCAAGGACAGGCAGGGCGACATGGTAAGCTGGGCTCTGGGACTGGACCGAGAAGAACCGGTCACCTTGATCCAGTCCGGAGGAGTCGAACCGATGGGGGCTGAGGAGCAGCGCCTAGAGGAGACCCTGACCTCCCTGAAGCAACAGCTGGTAGGAAGTTCTACACTTTCTGTGGTCATAGCATAGGCAGCTTCTAAAATTACTGTTTTCAAAAAAAAATAATAATAATAATAATAATAATAATAATAATAATAAATAACCGTTTAAACTCGGTCGTTTGTTCTTGGAATAAAATCTGAGTCTTGCATCAGCTGATGCTCATCCCCTCAATTATTACCAGAAAGGCTTTTAGGCTCTCAGCTGGGGGTAAGGAAGTAGGATAAGTGTCATAAATCAAAGGTTCATTGCAAGACCCAGAGGACTTTTCAACTTGTGTGTGTGCACACACGCGCATTTCGTGCACGAGGGGGCCTCAATCATTAACCACTAAATGCCAGGAAATAAAAACAAATTTGAGTTTAGCTGTGAATGAGGGTTCAGTCTCATCGCCGAGAGGCCCCTGAGTGCTGCAGACAGCTGGCTCTGGAGGGTTTTCCATGACGAGCTTTTTCCATGTAGGCTGTTAAAATCATCCCAGGGAAGTCAGGGATTAATGTGCTCTACATGTTAGAGGAGATAACTGGGCAAAGGCAGCGCAGGACACACCAGAATGCTGCAAAAGGTTTCAACTTTCTTTCTGGCTGCACAGATTTGCACACATTTACCATTCTGCAAAAAAAAAAAACATTGATTTTCATCTGATATTTTTTAAACTTGTGCAAAAAAACAGACTGTGTTTAAAAGTTACTGGATGACCTGCTTGTGCCGTAAAGCAAGTTCTTCATCCCAACCCCCAAAGCCTTTCCTCCTGTCGTTGATACAATCGCCAGGCCCTCGCTGTGGGGGAGAAATGAGTTACCCACCACTGCTTCGTCCATGCTCCCCCATGTCCTGCTGTTGTTAATCATCAGCCACAGCTGAGCCGCTTTTGTTTTCTCCACGGCTGTACATAAGAGCCTCTTTTATCAAAATAACATCCTTCACTCTGCTGGCGTTAGAACAGCGCCTTTTTGTGTTTTTACACACGCACAGAGAACTTCTGTCATGCATGGCTGCACTGTTCTGCACAGCTCGCGGCCGTTGAACCCCCTACGTGTTGGAAGAGCTCTCAGAAAGGCCGCCTTTGTTGTCTGAGTTGTATCCCTCGGACTTTGCGGGGGATCGGTTAAAACTGTGCATTCCCTGTTTTACAGTCTCGTCTCCGGAAACAAGACGTCGGCCTGAAGACTCACTTGCAGCATCTGGACCAGCAGATCAATGAGCTGAAGCTAGATGTGAGTAAGGCTTCCACGGAGCAGCTGGAGAGTGACAGCAGGCCAAGTTCAGGTTTGCAAACAGTCTCATACTCGAACACAAATAATACACCCAAGGACACACTCACCTGCAATCATTCCTGCTCCCTCCAGGTTTCTACGAGCTCAGCGATGGTGGCTCTTGCTCTCGGTCCAACTCCTGCACTTCTGTCTACAGCGAGTGTCTGTCATCTTCTTCTCAGTCAAGCCTAGTTCCGTTGAGTCCTGCTAAGTGTGCCACTAGCCCCGTGTTGCATGCTGATGTTTGCCGCCGACGCTCTGCTGATGAGAGCACCACCCAGGGCAACCCGCCACGGGCCGTGGGCCTCCACCTGGGAAGCAGCAGGATCCGAGCAACTGCTACGGGAGCAGAGCAAGCACGACCAAGACCGGTGTCAACAGGTAATAACATCTCTCAATCTTGTGTTGAAGAGATCCTCTGTTGTAGTCATAGGAACTGAGAATCTGTATTTTTCTACCTAATGACATGTAAGTGGAGTGGAGTTGAAAGTTAAGAGCTGTATTTTGTTTGTTTGTTTGTTTTAGGTGATCTTGACAAAATAATTGCACAAGGATTGGGCTGCTTCAAATCTGCGGATGCAAAGAAACCCCCAGTGGGCCCAAAATGGATGACTTCCCCAATGGACCCCAAGTTCCAACGCAATCTGGAGCGCTGTAGTGGGATTGATGTCCGCCAGTACTCCAGCCCTCTGCATGCCGTGGCTCTCCAGACATCCATCTTCTCCCAGGGGCTTGATGTTGGGACTTCTGTACTTCTAGAGGGCCAAGAAGACTTCCAAAATGACTACAATTCTCTCCAAATGGGTTATGACACCAAGACCTTGGATTACATTGACAAACTCCTACAGCGCAGCTTGAATAGAATCCAACGAGAAACTGGCAGCGCTGACAGGAAGCTCACTGAAAATGTTCATGCATCAGCGGAAAAAAGCATCTCTGCACCATGGCCTCCTCAAGCCAGGACCAACATCTCTCTACCTAACGACTACCAGAGCAGGCATTGTGTTCAGTACTCAAGCCAAGAGTTTACTGACAAGACAAACCAGGACAAGTCAGCGAGAGCTCCTGAAGCTCTCTGCTGGCCCTCCTATCCTGCTACCATAAAGGAGTTCCACTCTCATGAGATCTCTTATTCATCCCTGAAGAATAATACGCCCATAGAAGAAGGAAACCACTCTGAGAGAGGTTGCAGTGGTAATGTAGACCCAAGACGTGTGGAGAGAAAGGCTCATTGGCCACTGATTGCCCACAGTTGGAACCCAGAGGAGAGTCAAAGCTATGAGATCCACAGCAGTCATTCAGGCTCACCAGAGTTTGTCCATGCCAGGTTTGTCCCTGCTGAATCTCAAAGGGTCAAGGTAAGACCAGCAGATAACAAAACCAGAGCTGTGAAGCTGAAGAGAAAAAGCAATGAGAAGTCTCGAGTTGTGAAACATCACGGTGAACGGACCAAAGAGGCCTGTGTTGGAGGAAAAGGAGAACCGAGAAGACCAGGAAGGGGGAAGGTTATGGAGAGAGTGAACGCATGTGACCCTATTCCCACCAGTGCAGTACTTACGGTCACCCACAAGGTCCACCCCAAAGCACATCCCATTCCTTCTGTCACAAAGTTTGGTAAAAGTCGGAAACAGCTATTCGTGGAATGCGACCCGACAGACCAGAGGAAGAGAAGACAAGGTGCCAAATATGATGTGAACATGTTCCAGGCCTCGTCTGTTCAGCGTCAAAGATCAAAAGGTGCTCAGGTTTCAGAGAGCATCCAGATGGTCCGCAATGTTGGTGTCAAGCCAGGCAAGTGGATGGGACCTCCCCGCCCCTTCCAGTCATCCATGTTCTCCAATTCATTTTTTCACAATCTAAACACCAGATACCCTCCAGCACCCTTTCCTGTGTCTGGTCACCACCCACCCAGGTGTGAGTCCGAGTATTCTGCCGAATGCGCCTCGCTGTTTCACTCCACCATCGCAGAAAGCAGCGAGGGGGAGATGAGTGATAACACCACCAACTGTTTTGGAGATAGTGAGTCTAGCCAGAGCTTCTCAGACTCGGACGGCAGGCCGTCCCTGGACGAGGGGGACCAGGTGGAAGAGGAGGGAGTTTTGGTTTGGGCTGAGGCAGCGCTGGGGCCCACTGCAGCTGGGCAGACCCTCAAGCAGATCCCACCCCGCCCTGAGACATCAGCCTGCCGCATCAAAGCTTCCCGGGCTCTGAAGAAGAAGATTCGGCGGTTTCAGCCTGCCTCCCTGAAGGTCATAACCCTGGTGTAGAGAACTCTTGGGAAAAGCTCTGGAGAATGGTGGGAACAGCTTTAAAAATGTTTTTACAGATCTAGAGTAGCCTCCTGGAGCAACAGCCTTAATAAAGACTGCAGTCATGTGCTCTGGTTTTGTTTAGACCAAAAATATGAGAATTCATCTGTAGGGAAGCCAATACGCAAACCGTGTATAAAAAGTGTACAAAAGCAGGAGTGGTCACAATTATACGTGATATTAAATACATATAATGTTGTAATTAAAGTATTTTTAATAGCATGATGATGCCATTTAAAATGTTCACTTTTTACTGCAAATAATTGTTTACTAGTATAATTTTCCTTTTTCTTATTGTGATTCATGTTTGATTTATTAGAATAAACTGATATTTAATGTAAACTCACTGAAACTGTTTTCCTTGAGTTTTATTGTCTTTAGATTTTAAAAGCATTGTAATTCATTTCCTTTAGTATTTTTGCGTTATTGTTTTTGTGGATGGTATTTTTGGGAGTTACTGGTCTGCTCTGGTTGTTGGTTTGATTAACACAAGTCTGAGAACCAAGCCTTAGCTTAATGCTGCGCACATTTTCTTCCTCGGCGATGCATTCTTTAAATGATCTCATCTGGTGCTCTCATTAACTGTCATAATGAGGAAAACCTCAAATGAATCCTCACAAACCTCCCACTGAGGTTGGCCATGTCCGCATAGGTGACTCTCTGTCTGCTCAGCTGTTAGTTTCAGCTCCGGCAGTCAAACCGGATTATCATGTTTTATTAGCTGACAAACCTTTATCAGCGACAGTTTGTTTTTCTTTAGGTAAACACTTGAAATGGAAACTCAAACTCGCCCGTCCCTGCGGTCTCGCAAAGTAGACACCGAGATAATGAGAGTGTAAGTTCATGGTTTGTGTGCAGTCTTTCAAAAGCCAGCGCGGTTGGCAAGAGGCACTGAGGATTTAACGGGATGATAGATGATAAGAGGCTGCTCATTTCTGAGCTGTCACGGGAAGCTTAGACAGTGGGCAGCTGTACAGAGTCACACAATAATCTCCTTCCTAAAATCTGTTCGGTGTCTTTCCATTAAATTTCTTTCAGAGACGAGGTGAGCGAAAGGGCAGCCTGGAAACAGAACTTGTAAGGATGGGAGCTCCTGTGATGACGCGTTCCCCCGTCTGGAAGCCATTATGGCAAAAGTGTTTCCAGCTAAGGAGCTCAAGAGTTCAGAACTTTTAAAAAGAGGGGTTCTGTGAGGTTATGAACAATTCATATCTCGCCTGCTGTAGATGGCTGTTTGAGCGACAGCACCACCAAACCCAATCTGGCTAACGAGCTAAAGGCTAGTCAGAGCATCTTAAAAAAAACTTTTATTAAAAAACTATAAAAGCAGTTCATGCAGATTCTACATTCTTATGGCTAAACATTTTTACATTATGTGGTTGAGGCTTTAGAATGTATTTAGCGGCTAAGCTAACTTTTGTAGCACTTCCTGTTTTGGAATATTTTCAGCTGGTGTAACTGTGACGCTAGATAAATGACTAATAACCCGCACTTGTAAAGCACCTCTCAGAGTAAGGACTCCAAAGTGCTTTACACTACAGTATATCATTCATCCATTCACACACTGGTGGTGATGAGCTACAGTGTAGCCACAACTGCTGGGGCGAGCTGACGGAGGCGAGGCTGCCGAGCACAGGCGCCACTGGTCCCTCCGATCACCACCAGCAGGTGGGTTAAGTGCCTTGCCCAAGGACACAACAGCAGAAATCTGTCCAGAGCCGGGATTGAACCTGCAACCTTCCGATTACTGAACAACCCGCTCAACCTGTTGAGCTACTGCTGCCCACAAGGGTTGTTGATTTGGAAAATGTTTCCGGAAACTTCTGCAAAGCTTTATGAGGTTAGAACAGGGGTGTCAAACTCATTTTAGCTCAGGGGCCACATTGAGGGAAATCTAGTCCCAAGTGGGCCGGACCGGTAAATAAAAAACAACTTCAGATTGTTTTCTTTGTTTTAATACAATCAATATAAAACAAGGCTGGAGCCTGAGGACAGTGAATTCAAAATAGTACAAGTACAACACCTGACGTGTCCTTGAAAATTTGAAATAAATAAAAATTAATAAATCAATAAAAAAACATTCCTTAGTGATTCAGAGCTTACAGATCACATGGCTAGATCAGTTTCATGCATCACTTAAAGTATATTTGACTCATTTTACTTTACATCTTTTAGCTTTCACCAGCACATCAATATCAGAAGTCACATCCTGAGTGGCGGCCAACTTCAGGATGTGATTCAAGTTCTTGTGTGAGCCTTGAGCGCAACTTTGTTTTATTTATACTCATTACAGAGGAAACTTGCTCACAAAGATAAGTTTATTTTAACTCTACATTGTAAAGTATGAAAATAAAGTTTACACAACCATCTCGCGGGCCGGATTTAACCTGCTTGCGGGCCAGATCCGGCCCGCGGGCCACATGTTTGACACCCCTGGGTTAGAATCATTTAAGGATGGCAGCAACTACTCTGTTAAAGACTGACAAATATTTTGATCCGAGGCCCTTGCAGATCCAGTCACTATGGTAACTGTTCTATTTAGGCTCATAAATTATTCCTTTGGTAAAGCATCCGCTCTCCTTTTGCCATAAATGTTCACTTTGATATCTTAAGAGGAGGATTGTTTTTACATAGAGGCTCACTAAAATGTGCATGGTAATTCAATAGCTTCATGTCCTCTTCTTATTAAAAATGGGATCAAAGAACAGAAACTACAAGACATCAAAGATGGTGTTTTAGGATTAGAAAGTTGAATCAGCTCATTAGGATTTGCACATCCAGCTGACCTCTGTCTTCTCTATAGGGGCAACAGCAAGTGGTCAGTGGGATTAGCGATGTTGTTTTGGACCCAGCTCGGCGGGAGCGTGACAGGCGACGGACTTGTCTTTGATGTTCAGTATAGCAGGGCCGACTTTGTGTGGTTGTCAACCGTTCCAGTTGCAGAGCACGAACATCTCTGAGCTTACTGACCCTTTGCACCGACGTCACCTAATCACGTGGGTCCACCATGCTGGACGGCAAAAGCATGTAAACAGTGAGCGACACGAGTACTAAACAAAGGGGAAAGTAGAGCCTGAAACTGTTTTTGCGATCAAAACAAAACTCCTCCAGCATTCCTTCAACTAGTTCATGCCCAGTTCAGTTATCAGAAGAAGTAGCGCATCTAGCGGGGCTCATAGAAAGCGGTATGCTAGCTTACCAACGTTAGCTTACGTTCTCTCTGCAGCTGTTCATCGATGTAAACATGTTGCTGACTTTGCCTAAATTCACCCCTCTGGATTTATAACTTTATGTTATAAACAGCGTTTCACTTTACACCAAAGCTGATTGTTAAAAAGTCCGGATCCCTACCAGCTTCTGTTGCTGGTGGTGTTACCGGGTTCAGCTGCTGCTCTCACACCGGAATGAGAAAATCTCTGAACGTCGACGCTCTTATAAATAAATAACGTAATTTTAACACACATAATTATACATCGGAGCTTTAATATTGTTAATAATTATCTCGCTTTACACTACAGTGGACGGAGTGCAGTCTCCGTGGTGACATACCCGTCCATCAGGATTATCAATAACTAGTATAAACACATCACATGTATCCCTGTCCCTGCCTTACTCATGAAATAAATGAACGTTAATCTTACACGGTAAAAACATGTTCGCTGCAAATCTGAGGCCTGCTAGCCCGCTTGATTGATCACTGCAGTTCATCTCCATCCTCAGTCTCCATCAAAGTTATTAAAAAAAAAAAACGAGTTGAGTTTACGTCCTTGTCTCTTAATGCGGCCGACCACGCAGCAAGCTAATACCATTTTACTGTCAAATCACCTAAATAAAAGCCATAAAAGGCTACAAACTGGCTTGTTTTGACTACCTTCACTGGAGTTTCTACGGGTGTAAACGGTCTTTTTGCCGTCCATCATGGCGAAGGGGGCGGTCTCATGAGTGGCGTGACATCACGTGCAAAGGGTCAGTAGGGGTCAGAGGCTGTGTTTGTTTCTGTGTTCAGCAAACACTTTGTTTTGATTCATTTCTGTACTCTAAGTTATGATCGAAGGGCCAACTGCCTGCTTGATGCCTATTTGTCACAAATGCAACTTAAGCAGGAGGCAAATGCAAAATTATAAAGGGGAAACTTATTTTTCGGTCCTGACAGAAGAGAGTATGTGAATAACATTTTAAATTTCAAAGTTAAAAAAGTTACTTTGTATTCTGATAAAAAGACCGGGTTAGCTTTCCTGGCGCATGCTTGCTAAATTAGTCTGAACCAGCTTGCAGTGTAAAAATAGATCTAGGGTAATGCTGGTCTACTTTTAGACGTGACCTGTGAGGTGCAATGCTGGGAGTGGATGGCTTCCTGTTGACAGAGAACTTATTAAACATCAGGTCATGTCACCACTTCATTCACTCCTGCACTCAAAATCCCTCTTATTTTATTATTTTTTTCTGTACCAGTTTCCATTTATTTTATGTGAAATTGTTTATTTTTAAATATAGAAGTACAATTTTCTTAAAATGTGTTCAACTTTATTAGGAAAGTTGGGACCAAGGCCACTCAGTTCAACATAAGAAGTTTTCACATTTAAGGGAGTCCCTCAAGGCTCTATTACTGGTCCTTGTTTATTTCTCATGCTCACTGAATGCTTTAGACTGCATGTGGAAAAGGTTCAAGTTTTCATTTTATGCAGATGACACAATGATGATGATGATGACATTTAACTTTTCCATCGATATGGTCCATAAGCAGATTACTTTAGACACTCCAAGCTAAGTTTAGTTGGAGTTTTGTCTAAGGTTTAATGAAATAAATAAATAATTGGTATTTTTTTTTATACTAGCGAAACAGAGCTAAATCATGGTGTTGTTGCTCCTCATGGCAAACAATTAGGCATTATATCCAGCCCAACTGCTTGGTCTTTTTTATGAATTTGGTTTTTAAAGCCCTTTTCACCCCAAAACACACAACTATGGTTTGTGCATCCAGCACATTCTGCTGATGAGAGGTCGTCCAGTTTGACCAGAAGTCAGAAGGAACAAAAATCCTGTTTGGAGCACTGGAGTACTCATGGCTTTGAATAATCTACAGAATGATGTGGAAATCTAACCCTCAAAAATGGATTTTTTTTTAAATTGCACTCTATCAGTAATTGTAAATGTTTTGATTGTTTTTCTTCTGTCCTCTGAAATTAAAAAAGAAAAACACAAACACCAGCAAAAACAGGAATAACAAAAATAGTGGGGGCAAAGGCAGGCATGTTAATGAGACCCTAGTTTGGTTTACAGGAGTTGTCAGACAGAGAATGAGCTTAAAACACTAAAGCCGAGCACACCCAAGCCCTGCCCTG